CTTTCATACTTCGCTGCCAAGTCATTATTTGACCGCCTCTGGCTCTCTTCCACATTTCACGTGGTTGTGCGAAAAGAGCCCTTCGAGGAATTCGGTCGACTGGTCTTCTGGTTTTGTATTATATCGCTTCCATGCTGATCGAGTGTACTCCGCAGTTTGACAGTTTTAACGGGGATAACCAGGCCAGAGATTTTTTTTGTCCGACTCACTCTCGCCAGTCTAACTTTGCCGACCTGCATCGGCCTACATAGGATTGTCCCAATACATGTTACCATGAGTTTGTTTTATTACTCGTGCATAAGTCACTTACCGCAGCCTTCTCTCTGGAGGGCGCCGGATCACCCTGATAATCGCAGATTCGAAGAGTTGGAAGTGTCCACATAATTAAAGCTAAGTAGACTCTATAAGTTAATCAGAAAGCCATTTTCATTCAAATGTCCCCTGTTTAGTAAGCCGATTCTGGTTTTTTCGTGGTCTCATGCCATTCCCTTGACGTAATTAATGGTGTATTCAAAAATATGCCAAAAAGAAAACAACTCATCTCCAATTTAGCCTCAACTTTCTACGAGTCTGCTATCTTTCACTTGAAGATACAATTTTCCACTCGACTGTTCCTTCCCATACGTGACTACTTGACTCTACGTTACTGCGTACTTGTACTAAATCCAGAAAGTAAAACTCCTCATACATTTCTAGTACGCTCTTGTCAAACACTTCAGTTCCCATTTATTAGTTTGTCTTCGCTATCAGCGATGTACCTGTTACAAGGTCAAATCCAGGTGCTTTTTCTGCCTAGGGAAACATTTTTACCATAGAATTAATTATTACGAATTTTATTGTGAGCATGCACCGCAATGCGGACAGACGTTAGTTTTCAAACCACTTTATGTCATGGAGAAACATGTATATCGGATCAACGTACCCCATCCGGAAAAGCTCCTTTAGTGCAAAAAAGACTGCAGGATCATAGTACCTGTTGGTCGGTGGCTTTTTTTTGAAACGCCCCTTGAAAGGAACCTGTTAACCCTCCGTTGAGCCACCATTCATAGCCGAATATGTCGTAACCGGAAAGCGGAAACTTGTTGAGGTTCTTTTGAGGCTAAGGATCCTGTATGTAATGGATGAATGTAATTCATCGCCAAAAAGTTTATGTGGAGCGAAGCCTGACAACATGTGTCTACTATCCTGTGATGGTTTTTTCGAGCATAATTATCGATGAAGGAGTGGACAGTCTGTCTGTTCGGAAGTACTAGGCCTTTGGCGAATTCAGCCTAAAATGGGAAGAAGGCGGTTGAACAGCTTCCATCTGAGCTCTGTGGGATAAAAATGTTCTTAATCCCAACCGTGCTCCTCCATTTTGTAGTTTGCAATATTTTACGACTCATGTTGACCCGCAAAAATGTAAATACACGGAAAAAAATAAGAAGGTTCCGGTTCTGTAAATTCGCAATGCGCTGCTCATAAGGCTGCTAAAAATTCTGGAAACATCACAAACGAAAGATTTAGCTGGGTTCGAGGTCAGTCTCTCGCAAAACGAAATTTATTTGCAAATGAGTGTATTTAGCTATGTCCGGTTCCGTGCTTAATTTCGGTCTTAAAAGTACGAGTTGTCCTGCCAACTAACCTTCAAAGAACGCGGGTCGATAAACAGTAGCCAACGAGCGTACTCATTACTAATTTGACAGACTCACTTGGGGCGCCGGCGGAAAGCCCTTGATATGTAATCGTATAATGGACCATGTACGTCGGCGAATTCTTTGCGGAAGTTTTTCTCTAACAACTTATCTTCAGCACACAAAAGATCATATCCCTCTTTTTCTTGCTCCAAAACTTCTTTAGCTGATTCTAATGTCCGTATTATCTAGAAGTAAACAAAATACACGTCGGATATACAATACCACCATAGAAAATCTTCTAATATTGTGAAATATCGGGTGAATAAATGGTAAACAAGTGGACTAAGAAGCACAGAACCTACCCCAGCCTCTTCCTGATCAATCTTTTCCAGTTGCTGACGTAGTTCGTTTTCGTGAACAAACAGCTCCTCTTCAACCAGAAGCATCCATTTCAAGCGCCAAATTTTTAGTTCCTCATGAACCACAGCTATTTGTACCCGGATCCAATCGTTAAACAGTGCAACTAATTGTTCGTCAAATTTGAGTTTCTCCTCGTCTATTGCGGCATACAGCGTCTTCATCTCACCTTCGAGGAACTGCAGATAACATTAAAGTGGTGATTACTTTTTCAGGGAGACAAAGCAACGAAATAAAAGATGTTCTGGTTTATAACACTTTCCAAGGAGAGTAAACTTGCTGATACATACTATCAAGCCTGTTATTTTGTTTAGGGATGCGCAATATAAAAAAAGACTTATCTGTAGTCTATGGATCAAAGCGATCAGAAGTATTATTGGTTCACAAAGGATCTGCTTGACTTCATCTGTAGGGATTGGTCACGTTTCTTGTTTTCTCGTGGCAAAAACTTTGGAGACAGAAGCATTTACACTCAATAAGGAAACAGAAATGTGCGAATGTCCACGTTCAACAGCGTGTCAACCACTCATTATACAGATTGCAGCTCAATGAAGTTTTCTACTACGGTTGTGTAGCACAATAAGTCGAGGATGTTCAAGTTATTAAATCTCTAGATATATGCATAAGACTTCACTCCAGTCTGTTGCTCCCGCCCTGATTTGAGGTCCTTCAGATGTTTCATCATTCGCTCTATACCTACCATGTCACCCGAAGGAAGCACGAGGGCTGATATTCTCTCAGGCTGTCTATGCCTAGACAGGAGCAGTCGAGGTGCGGAGGCTGGTTTCGAACCACAGAGCTTTCGGTCAGTAAGCTATTTAAGCTAATTGAGTTATCCCGTTGAGTAAATGAATGAATATATGAACTTCCAACTCATTCCCGGGTTTGTAGTCGTAGTGCTGGAATCGGGTGTAGGTTGGGTGTATTACGAAAAATATTTCAAGAGGCCAAATCTTGTTCGAGTAGCAGAAAGCATGACAAACAAAAACCGTGAGATTAATAAGAACTAGTCTTTTAGGCACCATCTCAGTGCATAGCTGCCATGCAACTCGGGAAGTGTATAGGAACTGAGATACTCTCCAAGACCAGACAGGAGTGATCCAAAAGCCAATGTTGCTTCCCAACTAGTCAGTGGCTCTGTGCCCAAATCGCTGCTTCCTCTTGAACTAAACGTTCACCGAATCACGTTTTACTGTCGCGGACAGCCTATTTAAACAACCTTAAACAACCATCGAACGCTGATAGACCAGAAGAAATAGGACTAGTTAACTCACTTTCCGATATTTCTCCCTCTCTTCGTTAAGCTCCTGTACTTTGCGTTCATACTCAGCATATAGGCGTCTGTCATCTGCCGTCCAGTGTACCAAAGGTTTACGCGTGATCAAAAAGGCCGGTTTCGGTACATCTTTCTTGAGCTCATCTTCTTTACGCACCTCCAGTACTCCTCCCATCATTTCTTCAAGGCCCCTTTCTCTCCAGTTGTCCAACATGTCACGACGACGTCTTTCTTCTTCTGCCAATCGACGTGTTTCTAACTCAGCAATTTCGGCAGGAGACAGATATCGTTCTGCCTTGATTTCTGAATCAGTCACTGTCAAAAGCAGCTCAGGTTGTTCTTCCGGTGAGAACGCAGGATCGATGACCGATTTAGCCGCATTTGGTTGTTGAATATCCACCAGGATCTTCCTAATCCTTTCAAGCCGTGTGCGTATTTTTTGAAGACCACTATCTTTCTTTTGGTACACTTCATCGAACCGCTTATTAAAGGTTTCTTTGATTTGAAAAATGTTATCCTACGTGTGCAACAATGTAAAATAAATGCATGAAAGTCTAGAGCTCACCCACACAATTAACAAGCTTAGTCTCAGCATCGTTTTCGTCTCCCGTCCACGGACAGTAATTTATCAGTTAAACACTAGAATGGGAATAGGCGGGTTGAAGGCAAAACGTAGGCTGTAAGTAGGAGTTAAATACTGGTTGGTCGGCGCATGGGACCGCCTTTACTCGTTCCTGCTTCAAACAATTTTAGCTCTTCTATTGAACCACACTTGATCGACGCATATGTATTACCTAACCCATCAAATCCTTAGGAATTTTCAACCAGTTTCTGAAGGGTTTTCTTTGATGGCTCAATGAGTCTCAGAACTTCAAATCAGGTCCTACGGCCTTGATTCTATACCATGCGAGACCATTCAGGATAGTGTCTTATTGTGGCGGTCTCCTTTTGCGCCAGTCATTGACGTTCGGAGGAAATAACCAAACTCCATTCTACAAGAAGAGAGGCTTCCAAAGCAAATGCATGCGATAGAGGTCATGCACTGCATACAATGACCGAAAAATTAAAGTGCAGTAAATTTCACAAAACGCAAGCCGGTCCAATAGCTAATACCTGGTAGTCTACAAGTTAAATATATGCTAGAGCCCTGTGATTACCGGCATTTAATGTGTTCCGTAATAATATTACAAACAAGTAAACTGCTGCGGAAGTTAGTTTTAGATTTGTAGCATCACGGTTTCACAGGATGGTGGCCGGGTGGTATGTTTGACTTGCTTAGGGCTTTGTGTCGCAACCTAGCCGGTGAGGATGACTAACATGCAAGCTAAAGTGGATCACATGACTGCCCAAACTGGTTACCACTCTTTGAACAGAAATGGGTACCAAGCATTCCTGTTTAAGACCTTACCAGGGCATGCTTTATCAAAAGACCCATCCAACTTCTGCTAACCTATAAGCCAAAGCGATAGTGAACCATATCCGGAATGAAAGAAATGATTTTCGAATATTAATTACAACTGGTTTTTGTGCATAATCAACATTTTAAAGGCCTGTATCAACGTGGTTTTTTGGAAATTGAAACGTAGTACATGTTGGCCTGGGTAAATGACAACTTCCGTCATAACATTCCCCTCTCAAGTAGAGTTTTAGTGACATTTTAGTCATCTTAGAACAACGGCGCATCTCCAAACCGAAATATAAGGTGTTTGAATGTTCGATTTGGGACTAAGGTACTGTATCCCGTACTGGAATGCAGCAAATGACATGACTCCAGGATGGGGTTTGCTTGGTCTTCTACGTTCCAGGTTGGAGAAGCGTCAGTTTCTATCGACATTTCCCGTTTACTCACACCCCCAAGGATGAAACAAGAAGGGATCTTTCAAATTACTGCAGTGAGGCACCGACATTCCATATTGGCTTTGTGATTAGATGATGATAATATGGTGATGATTTCTATCGACATTTCCCGTTTACTCACACCCCCAAGGATGAAACAAGAAGGGATCTTTCAAATTACTGCAGTGAGGCACCGACATTCCATATTGGCTTTGTGATTAGATGATGATAATGATGGTGATGATGATGACAAATACTACAAAGGTGATAAAAATAAGGAAGATAGTGACGGTGATGAAATTTGTGCGGAGATATGGATAAATCACGAAAAATTTTGAATGGGTAGGCACTAAGTCCTGATACGAAGGTTAGTCAGTATACGAAGTTTGCACACGAATAACTATGCCGCCCTCCACAGCACTGTCAATCAACACCAACTGGGAACAAAAGTGAAAACATTCATTTGCATGCCAAGTTGCTTTGAGCTGGAGACTCTACTTAGTCCAAGTGAATCTCTCGTTTGTGATGCTGCACAATATCGCCCACATTTCAGTTGGTACAATATTCACGACATCGCATATATTTTCTTGACGGAATATACAACTCCCAGGGTTGCTGAAAGCTCTTCCCACAACCGAGAGACCATACCTGATGCCTCCGAAAGAGGTCAAATCCGATCTTGCGATGTCGACAAGTGTTCAGAAAATTTACATGTAGAGTTTCGTTAAAGAAACTGTATATTCAGATATTGATATTGATAATGATCTATTGATAATGGGATGAATGAGTTTACTGTTATATGCGCGTATCGCCTTTAAAGCATTCCTTATTTCTCAAGGGTGAATAGATATTGTGCGATAGCTGATTCGGAGTTACCTCAACAAGCACAATCTGGTAGATTTTCTGCTCGCGAGTGTACAAATCCAATTGGCTGTAGCAGAGTTCACCTGGACCGCCCCAATCCATCGCTGCAACAAAACAAGGGAACACAGTCACAGATATATTCGAACTACCTGGGTGTGGAGTTCGAATAACTATCTGATTGGTATGTGTGGCTCAATACAGCACTGGGTGAAAAGTTAGACTTTACGGTTATGAGAGACCGATCCTAAGCTTGATTGATACTATTCACTGATGAGTTTCATTTGCACACAAAAACACCACAGTAGGATTCCCTTACTATACAAACGCATTAAAAATGGTAAATTTTACGTACCAATGCTACCAGCCAACACGCGATTGACAACGACTTCTTGCTCATCATCTTCGTCGGGTTCTTCATTTTGGCCCGCTGGTAGCATAAGCTATAACCCAAAGCAATAAGATTGTATAGTTGGTAGTTGTCATGGCAGCCTTAAGGGATTCAGACGAAATGTGTGCTGACGAACAATCATCCAATGCATTATCACATCCTTCTATAGGGCTAAGAAAATGTGACAGGAAGGTTTTGCAAATCTGACTTGAATAACACTGACGTAACATCAAAGCTACCTAGTCCAGCGGAGAAGTCGTCAGCGAAGTGCTTAAAGCAACAGTATATGTAAATCATGCTTTTGACTTTTTATATCAGTACGTGGGGTAACAATAAATGTGCCAGATAACCTGGACGAAAGTGATGCTGGGTGATGCCGTTACCATCCGTACAAGTGGAAGTAATGCAGCGGCTGTTCACGTTGGTAGAAATACTCTGTCCAGTCCAACGGCAGTGAGCTTCCGGATTTTTACGGAATTCACAGATACGGTATTTTTGAAATTGAACTAGGTTTCCCACAAAATGTGATTCGACGTCGGGTGTATTTCTAATTGTTTTCATGGAGATAGACCCCATAGGGTATTTTGGTTCTTGGTACCGAATGTCTACATGAATTCCTGACGAACGTCAATATAATAGTATGTACTAGTATGTACACTGAATTTGAAAAAGTTGGACGTTCTAGTTTGACCAATGTACTAGTATTTAGCATCCAGTTGCACTCGGCTGAATTAGATGGGCATTCAAACTACGTGAATGGCAGAATGTTTTTATCAGGTGACCGGATATCATTACCTTGATGGGCCGATTATCGATCGGAGTCCTAACACTTCCTTTGGGTGGTCTATAACTACTGGAACGTTTTATCATGCCGGCAAGTTCACTCTTTTTGAAAAGTGGTTTTGAGGATAATATGGCGTTGTCTTGTGTTATCAGCTATGCAGTTGTATTTAAAGCAAACATTTTTGTAAAGAAAAAATACATGATAAGTTCATAACTTGACCTACTGGTGTGTCTGATGCCCCAAACGCACTTTCATTCATTCGAGAAAACATCCCCGCCAGGTGAATTTGGATTGTGCGCCTTGTCCGGACCGCATTTAGCCTATCCAGATCCTCACGGCTTCTACTCCGAAGGGGGAAATTACATACCTCTAGCTGGGATCCGAAGGCACGTAGGATGCGTCCTTTCACCCGCATTTCATCCCAGCAACGATTTTTCAAGACATGCCATGTGAACTGATTTGCTAAGTCAGAAAGTTGAATTTCCTGGCGAGTCTGAAAGAAATCAGGATCACAGATCAAACGATTACAGCTCGACACAAGTTGCTAATATAATCTGGATCCTTTCTGATGGGATTGCCGACGAGAATGAAAACGTCTTCGTTGACCTCAAAAGTTGACAACCCCCAAGAAATACGCTGGCAACTTCTGAATGATGGGGTGAAAGAAATGCGTGTCAAACTAAATCGAATAAAAGTGAGTTGTCTATTGCAATAGCTGAAACCGCTTACTGTTTTGTCGAGTTTATTATTCAGTAGCTACAGGGAAAGCACTCAAATGAAACTGAAATAATGCAGGGTCTAACTGTAATCCACACTTTAAGCAAAAGTATGCCGCATGCCGATCAATACAGACGGATTATCAGCAAACATAGGTCAAGTTTTTTTCACCAACCTGCTTGACTGCTTTCTCCGTATCTTCAACAATCGCTGCCTGTTCATCCACATCCAACTCGAATTCCTGTCGGCCAATACGCTGAATTTCAGGCAATTCTTCATTTTCTTCTGCCATGGCATTAATCTACAAACACTCAAACGTAAGTAACTAGGCCTAATTTTGAACAGAGTTTTCCTAAAAAGAACTTTTTGATTGAAGATAGCTGAAGAAATACAAAAAACCCATTCGCCAAATTCGGCAGCATTTTAGGTAATCGGATTGAAGTGTGACTTCCCGATGTGTTGATTTGCTCGTACACATGCATAGCCTAGCATACGTCATGCCACACCATTCACTTACTGAATTGACTGTTTATTTGTTTGGATTTAAACTCCTACGGATTCTTAAAGCATCAAGGGGATGGCCGGCCCTCTCCGGGTGAATGAGGAATTGATAAATCAATACTAAAATCGTGTACATTTAAGGATAGCCGGTCCTTGTGATCTGGACAGATTTGTTAGTAATCTTATCATTAAACCCTGTATCGTTGCTTATATTAACTTGGCGATAGCGGTGGAATATCAGCAGTTTCGGTATATGCGAGAAGGCGGTTTGTAGCTTCACAGTAAGACTAAGTGTGATATCACGAAGCTGGTTCATACTAGCATACCAGCATGAGAAGAAATTCACTGTTGGCGTTTATCCCTTCTCACCTGCGTGTGCTTTAGCCAAACCATCCAGCCAGTACGCTGACTTTGGAAGGTGGGAAGTTGAAATGTGGCGTAGCAAATGTTTGATTAATGATGTGAAACCACTTGAAAATGAATAGACTATTTTGATTGGTCTAGCTGCATCACCGGAAAACGGAACACTCGTGGTCCGAAGGATAGCACAGCAAACGATATATCTGCAGTGAATAGATATGTTGTCAATGCACACGTATTTTTACAATCTTCGTAAGGCTGCTTGAGCAGTTTCAACCTCGTTTGGGTAGGATGTCTCCATTTTTCCTGAATCTGATGATCCATTTGGCTTCACAGAATTTTCAAAACTTTGGACACCGGCTTACTTTTTATACTCTCGTATCCCATTGGATACTTTGGCGTTGACACCCGTTGTCCATGCTAATTTATACTGTCACAAAATACACGGACGAAGGTCAGTTACTTCCAGAGAAACGACCGGAAGTAACGAGAGACAGGCCCTGAATGTTTAAAATAGGCTAGAGGTTAGTCATAGGTGTGCCCGGACAGTACAAATGCAACAGTGTTCAGTTAAATAGGCAGGATATGCTGATATCCACCGTCCATAGCTGAACACAGGCTTAGCACCAGAACTCTTATGGTGCCCGGGTGATTAGGGTGTCGGCCAAAATTTCGTGATTTTTGTCACCGTCCCATGCTTGTGTCTCCAATACTGTAGGAAAATCGAGCTGTGTGCATGTCCTCAAGGTCTCGTTTTAGCCATCTGAACGGTTTGTGTTGTAGGGCCACTCCATGGTCAAGCCGCATAAAGCCTCGGAAACAAGCTGTGGAAGCAACCAGGCCATCTTAAGCGCGATCGGTTGGCTTGTCAAACTGTCTGAAGCCTAACCACCGCGGTTCCACCCTGTCATCATCCTCCCCGCCTTAATTCCTCCCCCCCCCCGCAGGGACGAGCCTACTGGTCAGGCGACGAAACGGGACCTTCACCGGGAAAATTTACCCACGCCAAGACAAACCAGCGATGGACTTGTGAAAACGGATGCGACGCGTCCATTTGACCCGAGAATAGTCGGGCATGCACACCCTAGTCTCACAGATCCAGCGACTATGTCTGGCTGCCTCAGACTTCAGGTGATCCACCCATACGTTGATGTGGAATCAGCAAACAAGATAAACTAAAGCAGGACAAAATAGTCTTGGTGGGCGCGCCCGAATGATGGGAATCCAAACTAAATGGTAGGGTGAATCGCCTTCGAATTTTCCTGGGTTGAGAAAACGCTACCGGAATATGCACTCCACTAGATGCGCACAGCGTTTACTGATGACAGTATTTTGCACACCATGCCACAGTATGGTACTCACAGTCTCGGAAATGCGAACAGATGAAATAATAGCCTTTCTTGGGTTACGATATGTGGCCTGAAGGAAAGTGTCAGTCTGTTCATCTCTTGTAAAGTGAGAAGTTCGGTGTGCAAATCTAACGCAAATTGAAGCCAAGAGATGAGTTTTTCTTGATCAAGTGAGGCTTTCAGGTTCCGTAACTTGAATACACGTACAGTTTATATTCCACTGAATTTATTTGCCCCCAATCGTGCATCACTCGAATTCCTCATGGCCAACTTGTAAGCCGCTTATTTTCCAGAATTCTGTTTAATTACTCAGGAACAACTAATGCATTTGAAGTCTTACTGTTTATTCATCACTCTTATGTCTCAAGAACCGGAAAAATTTGACACCTGTTGTGTTGAGCTCCCGCAGTAATTTCACCATATTTGATAAGTCAACAGCTGTTTGCATTTCTGCAACATTGAATCACCAAAAAGTCAGTTTTATTGGAGCAATCAGCTGGGAACTTTGTGTATTTCAATCCACTGCTTTCGCTAGCACGACTAGGTCTGCGTTCGGTGGACGCATCTTCACTCTGCCCACTGTTCCTTTGTGATAGGGTTGATCAAGTTAGAATACCCATGGCAGAATCCGGTTGCGTTTATTCTTATCACTTTTGATATTAGGAGCTAAACAATTGGTTCTGACAGTGATGTTCCTACCAGGTGATACGTTTTCAGTGTTTATACTTATGTTGACACTTATGTGTGACACTTATGTGACACTTTTCGGGCCCATTTTCCCATCAGTTCAGGAATTTGACGGAATATGCAAAAGTCCCTTTTGCGCCCTCCACGAACTTTCAGAACCAGATTAGTTTCTCTGGATATTTTTGTGCTTACGGGAGCTGTGCTGTCTATGGTTAAATCAAACACATAGAGATAGTTGATGAACCGTTTTACTGTTAAAGCACTACCCGGAACTCGAAAGTTATTCTAGTACTGAGATGTCAATGATTCCAATCAATGCTTAAACAGTTGTCAAATGCTTATCAATTCCTAGCATGGACTACCTAAGAAAATCATACTAGGAGTATCATATCGTCCAAAACTGCAATGAATTAGCCCACATCATCTGCTCGGGGATTAGTTACTGACTGATACCCAGGGCTAGCTAGATGAAACTATATAGGACAATTTCTGATGTTCAAGAACACACCGAGTTTGGTTGAAAATCGCTACTTACCAGCTGCTTTATCTCGGCCAATTCCGAACGAACCTGTTGTCGTGCTTCGTCATAAATTTGATCTTCAAGAGCATGTGTTTCCTTCTCGCACGTTTCAAGCCATGTCGACCTGTTGGGCTCACTTAAAACGGGGAACACTTCCACAGGCTCGCTGTTCGACTGAGCAGAAGAGCTCAATGTCATTGAAGGTTCAGCCATTGACATTACGGTGCTCGAACGATAAAACAGAGGCCTGTCAGCATTATGTCCAGAAGTCTGTCCGGGAACTTGGTTCTGACCATCCAGTTCGTTAGCTGAAAGGACTTTCTGTTTCGGTACGTGGGTTGGCAGTTCTGTTAGCAACTTGCTGTCTTGTGACGCTCTTTCGAGCATCTCTGTTGTCACTTTGTAAACTGGCTCGGGTTGTGAGTCTGAATCTAGCCTGAATATTGAATGGAACAGCGAACATGCCAATAGAAACACAAATACCAGTAGCAGTGGACTGACAAGGGTTTAGTATCATGGGCAAAGTATGCCAGTCAATGCCAGTGAAAGACTTCTTGAATACCCTCGTATGGCTTTACTAACCGGTCAGAACAAACTTCCTTATGAAGGAATAGAACGATATTGAAACCAAATTTTTTCAAAAAAAATACAGGATACCGCCATTCATAACTCCCAAGTAGCTGTGAGCCTGCTATCATCTGATGTTTTCCGATAAAACACAAGAAAATGTGGCGACCTGAGCCCAGTCACCTCTGCTTATAAGGAGGCAAAATATGAGTGAGTTTGATTTTTGAATACTGATCCAATCCCACAATTCCTAACAGAATTAGGGTGTAAAGTCGGGCACCTGCAAAGTCGATGATAACTTACGTAATTTCCGTGCAAGCCAGCAAACCATCGCATCCACATGTGATAAGGCTTCTGAAATCTCCGCAAAATTCCGCACCTGACACACCGATATGATCACTTTCGTGAATTCCGATCGTCTGTTTCACAACAACCTACGTTAAACAAAAATGCAAACGTTAAACAACTGAGTTATCTAGGTCCATGTGGTCGGCTATTTTTTTCCGGCACCAATAGAGCAGTAACGACACTAGATAAAAGACACTCGAGGTCTAATCCCTAAGGTATCCCTTTGTATGAAGGTTTTGGTCCCAATTTATTGCACTGATTGTCTGATACCAGTAACGCCAAGGAAAGTGACATACCACGCGATTATCCTTTAGAATGAGGTACAAACAAAGATGACCTGAATGATTTCGATAGATGGTAAGAAACCTCACAGAGCAACCAATCACCGTAGTTACTACTTCCATAATAGTTACGTTTTTGCAAAGCTTCTCAAATATAGTGAAACTCCTGTTGTGTTATATAAGTGCTTTTCCAATCCCAACAACGACTTTTTTAGAAAGCACCTCCCTCACAGCACCCATAACCCTCATCCACTCATTGGATTCGGAGGCCGGCTTTTACTTTCCTGTAACAGTCAGTTAGTCTTTTAAAACCCGACACTAGATAAATGTGCACACCAAAAACGATTGCATTGCGCTCATATTTCTGTCATCCGAACAGCCCTGGTCCTATTCATCCAATCCACTTGAGACACGAGTCTCGTTCTTATCAGAGCTCATTAGCGGCACACATCCTTGGTCAGTACTTGAGCACCAAATATCCGACATGCAAGGCGGGCGCGTTAGCTTTATTCCTCCAATGCATGTTAGATGCAGCTGAATAGTCGCTTCTGAATAAGTCAGCCTGTTCATACATGAGAGACGTGGACACAAACCTAACGGATCTGTAAGCACCCTCAGTTGAAATGGTAGGAAAATTACGTATTGATCCCAACCTAGCATCTACTTGGCAGAACCTAGTTTCCAGAGTATTGTGATTCGGAAGGATCGTGAAGCATGGACGGAGTGACGGGCACCCCAATAGTTTACTTATCTGGATGGTGGGGTATTGTGATTATCTTATTCCTTTTATGGTCTCATCATTTACATATTAGCGTATATAATTAGTCTAACCACAAGTTTACACTCCCATAAGGCCTAATCCAGATTGCTCCGTCGTATCTGGCTCATGAGAGGACAACATGTAAGTTCTAATGGGCAGTACGGAGTCACTGTTGGGCTTATGCCATGGCAACAGCGTTCCAAGCATAGCGGATAAGATACAACGAGTGTGAATCATATAAAAATATCGTTCTGTTTTCCGGCAGCTCGTGTCAAGCTTAGAGTGGTGGACATACGTATAAAGCTTCGGATGTGTAACTGCTATCTTAGACTGTAAACCATTAACTTTCGACGCGGTGGAACACACGTAGAGGTTGGTTTGAAATAGTATTCGAAGCACCTGAAACTAAAATCAATGTACTCAAAAACATTTAAACATCCAACCAACAATACCGAATGCGTAGATGGTTTGAAGCTCGGACCCCGACATTTTAGACAAAGCAAGACAGGGCTGTCAATGAACTGGTACCCCTTTGTCTGGCGAAATAGCTCTGACACTAAGAACGTTCCCTGACGCTTGACCTTATGCCAACTAAGAGGTGTAGTCCTCGAAACAATGTCATTTGGTGAGCCACTCGCTCATCTTACCTTCGGCCGAAAAAACCTCGTCAGCCATATGAAGTTGAATAGCTGGGTAAATGGCATGAGCAAAGGGCCATCACTGTCTTGCAGACTTAGATATCAAAGCTGAGCACTTGACTCGACGACTGGTGGGACTAATAGCAGGCGCAAATGGCTCGGGGAGCATTTTCACTTGGAACTAGATGGTTGATCAGATAGCTTTGTGAATCCTCATATTTTCTCTGTCCGATATATATCAGTCCAGCAGACGGTGTATTCGGCTGGAAAAAGATTTTTATTTTTTGACACAGTTTCGAGCCAAATCTCAGAGCTGATCATGACAACCTTTAGTTGTCATCTAACACATCCGCATGTCTGTGAACAATGGAGATGTGTAAGATTTAGACGAAGAAAGAATATTTTTGTTGCAGTTGGTGAACAAAATATTCGCTGTAGGGCAATTATGGCTAATTCTATCTAGCTGATGCAGTAGCTCGAGAGACATTAATTTGGGCTGCAGATATTATCGGTCTCAAATAATGCGGCCCCGGGAAACTTGAACACCAACTAAAATTCATTGGGTGTTGGGGAAGCTAGTCTCGATGCCAAATATAAATAGAGTTAGGGAGCATAAAACATTGCTAGTATGGCACAAACTAGGCTCATCGACAAATTAATCTCAAGGTTAAGGTGGAAAATTTGGACAATGGCATCTCAGTTGCAGAGTTGTCCCGACTGGTGGTGGCATTTCACAAAGATCCCGGATTACTGTCAGCACCATAGAGCTTCCAAAGAGACCGTCAAAAACTGGCGATTCTTTGGCAACAAATCAGTTAGCTTTTTTGTGGCAAAACACTGAACGCATATATAGACGGTTGAAGTATCAACCGGTTGGACAACACCCTTAGGGAAAAACAAAAACACTGGTATAACACATGTTGAGACAATCGTCACCCTAGTTGTTACTGCAAAATAAAACACTCGTAGCTTACTTCGTTTGCCGAAACTTCAAGTAGTTCGACCACTCCATCGCCATACAATGCCAGTAGACAGTTAGTTTCACCAACTCGAGTGAGTTTCACACGGCCAGTTCCACGTAGTATGGCAGAAACAGTCAGCGGATTAAGGTCAGAGGCTTTTTGAGAAAGCTGAAAATATAGGAAACTATGGCTGTATACATCGTGATACCGAACTCTCAAGCCATGAATGTTCAACTTTGAATCTTCCAGGCGAATGCGTTGATCAAGTATTCACACTTGCAAAATTAGTCTGGCCGATAAGATTGGTGGGGTACTGTCAGTTTTGAACATTAACTTACTTAAATAAAACTAACTAGCCCCATTGCTAACGCGTCCACTCCGTCGCACTCGAATTCACGATGACGTTATTTGTTCACACACTTTATAATCGCTAAGAAGAATAACCACGGTGCATGATAATACAACTGTCTCCGTTTGGAGAGTTCACCTTCTAAAGAAACCATTTTTTGGTAAATTGAGGCATCTTTTGGTAATGGGTTCCTGTTGAACATAGATCACCTCCCATCGAAAAGATGTTTTGATTGGTCTATTCTAGTGGTCTGTTTACAGAAGTCAGTATATCTGACAGTTCAAAGCCCTATCGGTTCTCCCCATTTTGACTCACGCGCTTTGGAGGACCCTAAAAGCAGCTGGCATCTTAATCTATTTTCCATTACAGTGAAGAGAATGAATAGGAAGGGAGCACAAAACAACAGTAAAGTACTTTCTACTGGCCTGGAGTAAACAATCTTTTCCCACGTATCTTATTCAGGCGGTTGACAACGTGACTACGTGGAGTGCATTCTACAAACGATAGGAACTCTTTTTAATCACTCGGATACCACCCTTCCTGATTAAGTTTCATTGTTTAAAAGAACATCATCTAAACAGCTATATCCTCCAATAATTTGGGGCAAAGGTTATTGTTTCACACATCCTTGAGCACATGGTGAACTTCTGCAGTCTGATTTTACGTCAAATACTTGATTGCAATTCTGCCTTCCCAGGAGTCAAATAAACTATAAACTCAAAGAAAGTCAATTTCGTTCAAACACCCACTTTTCTTCTGCAGCAAATTTCGACGCGAACACCCAAACTTAGGTTAAATCCGTTCCTGGGCTTTGATAAACACCAAACAGATTCTTGTCTTGTATGGCCTTTATTTTTATAACATACAGACAAAATTTTCCGCTCCTCAATCAGGATTGCTTCCGCAGGCCTGTTGCTGGACTGGGGCCCCTAAGGTCACACTCAATAGCTTGTATTTGCTCACATTTTTAGCTCTCTTCGTGCGCATGACACTTTTGTCCGTGGTACGTGGCGTTCAGCATTGAGTCTTGCCACTGACCTTCACACTTGATCCTGTATGATGGTCACCTTGTGACTTATGTGTGAGTCCCGATTCCTATTGCTTTATACCCCTTAAAGAACGTTGAGTATTGCTTGTTCTGTCTTCGGTTGCCGGTCTTTACACGTGTGTTTCAAAGCAGAAACTCCAACGTACGTTAGTGACCATTTCGGCTATTAGCGACAGGCCCTTGAATGGAAAGCTTCCCTCTTTTCACTTATTGATCTCGTGCATATGCTTTCACATCTATCGCTCACAGTTTTATTATTGTGGTCATATTCTTCGAAAATAAACAGATAGCGAGCAAAAACTAGCTTATGGTTTTTCACCGTGAGTCACAGACAAATAGTGCCCAAGATGAGTAAGTGCATGACAGTTTTGCAACCTGACTAAACTCTGAAACTAATTACTTACTTGCGTGGTATCCTTTAAGAAAAAAAGAGATAGCAGTCATGAAAGTTGGGAGCTGAGATGCATGCTCAGCACAGTAAACGGAAACTGGTCAACAAGCAACAACCACAAGGTAACAAAAGATCAAATTGGCCAGTCGCACTTCAGTGTTATCCTGTCCATCCGCGGTGCTGATGGTCTGTATTAGCGCAGGCGTAAGACGTAAGGTAAGTCCGGTCGTAAGTTTTGTCTTTCGACTGTTATAACGAAGTAACGATGTACCCACGTGTCCGCTGTGGTCGTGGCGGCCACTGATTGCAAATGTTCCCGATCCGCTGTGCCCAAGATGCGCATTACTACTACCAACTGGACGACTGGAACTTACAGCTCGCGAGTGAATACTGAGAGTTTGTGCTGGCTAAGATAAGCAAAAAAAAATGCAGACACTTCTAGGTGTTAGCTTGTGTGCGACACAGAAAAGTCATTTCTTCTCGTAGCCACTAACAGAATTTATTCGAGTTGGGTCTTGGAGCCGAACATTTCATGCTTTTAGAACTCGTTACAAATTTGAAAAGTAAAAGCTCTATAACGTCAGCCATCAGAAATGTTGAAGGACCGGCTTTCCCACTGCCCTACGTCTTAAGGTGAAAATGAATTCTACAACTATACATATAATTCGAGAAGACCTGTTTCGCCGGGTGACAGAACAGTGCGTTATCTTGCCAGCAATGACCACCAGTAGGTGTGGAAACTGCCAACTATGCCTGCGAAACAGCTCAAACGTTGGGACCATTCAGTTTGTCCGAGCGTTAAATTTCGCGAATTGCGGTCATATAAGTTTTCGAGTTAGTCTTGCTGTGAACACTGCACTAAGACACACTAACCGTTCAATAACTTGTTACCAACCCGGTACCAAATAACAAAGGGAATTTGTCTTCATGTTCGAATACAGTTCACCCAGTCGCATGAAGCACTGTCAGTTGCACAGTTATTCCCGGTTTTTTAAGCATGGATTAGCTTCAATCACGGGACAGACCTCAATTGGAACTTACCATCAACCTCTAATTGATTCAGAAGAAGATTCATTTTACAAGGTAAGTGAACCTTCCATCCGAAATTCGTCATTCGAGAGGACAGTTGATACGTGACCACTTGATATGGTTTCTCTGGCTGAGAAGATGTGCACCGCTCTATCCTGCCTAACTGCGAGGCAATCACATTGTTGTTTGGGAGCTCTTAATAAGACGGTTAACTGTCGCACCACTGGTCAGAAGGTTTCGGGTTCAGAACTCTGAGTTTCGTGAGGTGCGCACTGTTGATGATTCTGAATAAGTATGAAGCAGCTGTACAATGTTCCTCGGCTTTTCAGCATAGATTGGTCTCACTAACAGGGCTATAGCTAAAATAAGACTCATCACATATCTTCCCATTACCATAGATGCTGCAAACGGAAATTTCTTTCACCCATAACATCGCAATGTCCTTAATTGGGAGCTTGTAATTGTCCCGTACCCAAAACTTTTGAGCGACGGTAAGCGTTCCAATCAGCATCCTATGATCGCGGCCGTTTGCGTTGACACGCAAACAAGGTGGGCAACCACTGGCCAAAATGAGGCCACCCAGGGTAGCGCACCCATAATGTCTATGTTAAGCTCCGTAAACTTCAAGCACAGTCAGGTGAATCAGCCAAATGAAAAATTGTTAGAAAGGCACGAGTTTGGGGACAGTTTGGCACAACTGTCTGGCACAACGTGTTTTGGTCAACACGGCATCAATTAGGTTTTCCCGGAACCAAGCGAACCACTCGGGTGCTGTAGAAAGGCCCGTCATGTACCGGGAGCGCTGTACTTCCTAGGGAAGGCTCATTCGGGAACTTCCCTTTGAAATGTCATAAAAATCGGGGACTTCTCTTCTTTTCCGGAGAAGCCCCTATTATTTTGACAGAAAACCTGTTACTGGAATGTGAAAATCAAGTAGGTTCTTGCACAATATTTCCCCATGGGTCAAAATCAGTCGTTAGTTAACGACTGTGCGATACTCATTGAGGAGCTGATAATTGAAGAATAATCAAAAGACGAATTATGGAAACAAGCAACATTCGAGATGAGAGACAATCAGAGCGCACAAGATCCAGGGGCTTTGTCGCACAGCGTAGCCAGGAAATTTTCTTATTTTTTTTAATCTCAGTCTATGGCGTAGATTGAACTCTTAGTAAATACACCTTCGAGTTTGGTGATGCGAATAAAATTATATAATCTACTGCAGCCGCTTTTTTCTTTGCAGTACATGGCAGAACTATCTTTAGTAATCAAGTCAGGAAGGTATCTAAGATTTTAATTTGGTAAAACATGATCATACAATAGATCTATTATGTTATGTCAGAAATGTTGTTCAACTTAACGAGCTCGTATCAGGCTCTCAGAAAAGCAAATAAAATCCAGGGAAACAAAATGGTCCCAACGGTCCATTTCGCCTGTGCCCCAGAGTGGCCAGAACGAGCTGTTGTGACAAAATTATCCTATAGAATAGCCGTTGGTTCATGAAGAAGAATAAATGTCTCCTTCATACCGCTTTCAAATGAATCACATTGATAGGCTATTTATCTCACGGCAGACTTACTCTGGCACTGGGCTCTTCCGGTAAAACATAGGTTAGTAGTTGCTTTCCGCGACTATCTACGGCAAACAGAGTTGGAGGAGCCGACACACTGTCGTCTCGTGGAGGCCATAAGCAGACGCTAATTGTTGGGATATTAAAATGGAGCTGCATAAGACGAATGGTATCTGCGCGCAGTCCCAGACAGCTGTCTACCACAGAATGCGGCGAATCTGAGGAGTTTGGACAGAAGGAATAAGTCTAGTGTTGAGTAGCAATTATGGTATTTGTACGAAAATGTTGAACTATTAGACATACAGAGAGTTCGCACTAGAGGAAGCACAAGTGAAAGATTTTGCTTAAAAAGAATGTGGCTGCTTAGAATTTGAGTGCGTCTGAAACATCTGACTCATTTTGCTGCAAGCACTATATTTGGGATTGGTTGTCCTGAGCTCCCTTGATTACTCAACCCCATTGATTCCATGTGAATCATCCTAAGTATTGTCACGACTCTTACGAATCAGAAATAGTGAAAACGAGAACTAAACGAAAGAGAAAAGAATGGAAAATTACCCGTATTTGGAACGAAATCACGACACCTACAGCTCCATGTATGTGGAATGACACCGATTGCTCCTGCGGTGTCTCAATCGCAGTCAGTTGTTTTTGGGCCTCAATGATGACTGACAGTAGCCCCCATTGTGTTGATGCTGTTCACATGGTCCATTCTAACCTTTGGAACCTTTCGCAATCTTTAAAGTGTTTTTCTTTCAAGAGCGTTCATTTCAAGCTATAAAGGCTGTCTGCTCGGTATGACGGCTTACACTAAATTCATATCAACGCCAAACCTCAAACTGCGTTGAGGAGTACGGAAGTCGTTGTTTGCTATTCTAAAGCAACCGATTAACGTTCTTTGCAGGTTACTCACTCCATCGAGTTCATATCACGTGTGAATGGACAGAACTCACAGTGTTGCTACACAGGTAATCTAATTATTTATCAGCTCCCGCCTGCAATGCGCAGCTACCTCCCCCTCTCCCCCCCCCCCAAAAAAAAAAATCGGGGAAC